TGTTCAATGATCGACTGTAGCCTAGAAGTTCAGCGCTCTCCAGAGGACGTGCGTTGCGTTAGCGATAAGCGCATTTCTTCGTCTCTATGAAATAACTCATCAATTTCGCAACTTTTCACCTACAATGAATCGACGAGTCTGGCAGAGTCTGGGATGTCTTCGTCACACTTCCGGTGAATTCTTGTTGATGTTAGCCGTTATTTATGTAATACTGGTATGCTACCCTGTCTCTTAGACGACTTCATTACTTGTTGAGATGAGTTCAATGTGGGAGTGAAGTAGTGATATATATATATATACATATATATATATATGTATATATATATATATATATATATATATATACACATCTGCTGATCTCGTGCGCGCACGCGCTCAAGCTCAAGATCCCTCAGCTCGATCGATTTCTTTTCCACACTTCAAAGTCTGGGCGATGAATAGCAACATCTTAATGGACATGAAACTTCATGTTATTCTCAGTGCTACTCTCTCCAGATGAATTCCAAGCCTATACTCGTTCCTATACATTCTATAAAAGCCAGTGCTATCTTCATTCTTATTAGAAAACGATTTCTATTCGTTTTCCTCTGCTCTCGCTTTTCTAAACATTTTTATTTCAAGACAACAATATGACTTTTCGTTCCTTCTCTTGAAAAGAAAAAACCGTTTCTTCTAGTTTGATCGTATTATTTGGAACTTTGCAAAACTGGGCCCTCGTTGCCCTTCTCTACTTCTTTTTTCACGGAAAAGGAAATTCGAAGAACTATTTCGAACATGTGACCGCTCGTTCTGTTTTTCAACGAGTTCTATGATTTCGTTTTAAGCCAGTTAGTTGTTTTTTTTACTTCTCTTTCTTAGACTTATGCATCTACTAATAAAACTTAAAATGCCTGTTGAATAAACGTCGTTTTTCGAATGTAACTTGTTCGATACACCAATTTTTCGTCATTTGTTTTATCCAAAATCGAAATGATTTTCGTGATTAATTTAATAATTCTTCACCCGTAGATATGCCGAAGTATGGCTGTCATTTAAATTTTAGCGTCAACATTTTCGCTTGTAACTGTCTTCTCTTTCCTTTCTTATAATTTTTTCTAGTCAATTATTGAAAACGAGACAGAGAAATCAAGACAGTGATTTTTATATGTCATTAGTGGCAAATTAATTGAGTGAAATCATTTTTCTGTCCCTTTTTCTTTTTACGTTCGCATGTCTTCCATAACTTGTTTGAGGAATGTGAGAAAAGTGATAGAAATCGACTGTCGATGATATAAAGGTCAACTTAGTATGGGCGTAGAACTGATTGGATGCGAACGTTGTCCGTGACGTCTTCGACATTACTTCAAATGAGTGTTGGAAAAATGAGCTTCAGTTGAACCGCTAAAGCAACATGTCATATGTCTACAAACAACGTCAAGGTCATTAAAAGGTCAAGGAAGAGACGAATTGTTCAATGAATGTTCTCGTTTACCACAACTCACGTGTCTTGTCACGATTGAAATGATGAGCAATGGAAATCCAGTCATCGGTCTATACTTCCAATTAAGCAAAAGAGAGGGCAGTTAAGGAGAAGTAAGACAAACGGGTTAACCATACCATGCATTAAACAAGGTCTTCTACGTCGTTAGATTATTGTATGACATCACTGTGATTACTGCATTAACTGCTGTCAAATACTGTTCAGACTTCCGCAATTTTCAAGCTAGAAAGTGGTTACAGATTAGCACGATTAAGGAGATAGCAGGGATAGAGATAGAGAGAAACAAGTAGACAGACGGGCAGAGACAGGAGTGAGGAGGGAGAGAAGGAAGGAGGAAGAGACAAAGAGAGAGAGATTGTGGTGATCATTTCCAAAAGCCCATTTATTTCATTTGACAGACTAGAGATGCATATTTATGACGGAATGTTGACTGGTGCGATTTACGATTGCAACGTCACAGCAACTGCTCATCAGATTGAACTGTGTATGGCGACGGTTCGACTCGATCGGCCTATCGACAAGCTCATTTAGGATTACGATCAATTCATATCGCCTAAATATGAACAGCTGTGAGGTCAACGAAGAAGGGCTAAATGAATTCGTCTATCTTGAAGGGAAATGCTCTGTAAGCGTGGATGGCTTGATGCTGAGCGTTTCATGCTTCCCTGCTGCATTCATTTACTAATGGATCGAATTCTAATAGTTTTAGATGCAAGTCTCGAAGACCTCATAGGCATCACCGATGTACTTTTCTTGGAAAAAGTCACTATAAGAAATTCTATAGGGGTTATTTAACATCATACTTTCTCCAAACTAGCTATTATATTGTTGCTTTCACGTTTTCTATTATTGAATCAACCTTTTATACAAATCATGGAAGGTATCAGTTTTCGTGCGTGCCGCTATCACATTCCTCATTCCTCGATCAGTTCTTCTGTCGCATATGATGTATTAACTAAGAAATAAATAATAAATAAAGATCGTCTTCGTCAATGCAAAAATGCTTTCAATACGAGCGATGCCAAAACGCTATGAAGGTGTAGTAATTCGAAAAACCTGCTTTCAATAAACCTCGGAATTAAGAATTAATTTATTTGTTGCGAACTGTCCTTGTTGAGCTAATGCGAGATTGTTATCACTTCTTCTTGAAATACGTTGGCTGACGCTCCAAAGATTTCGACTTACAGGTTCTGTGGGTAAATAGAGAGTTCTTTTAGCACGGAGATTTTTGGTTTGGTTTATGGAATAAGGTTTTGGTATAACCAAGAAATATTAACCGAATAATAAAATATAGGTGTGTAACTAAACGTCCGGACATTAAGGAAAACGAAATCGTTACAAAGTTAGCCATCACAATTCAAGAAGTAGTGATAACAACCTCGCGTAAGCACAACAAGGATACTTCGTAAGATATTAGCTATGAAAGCGTTTAAAAATAGCACATGCATTATTTTTGTGCGAATGCAATCTTTTCTTTTGGTATTTTTCAAGAATCGCTGGCGGCAACGTCAACCATTCTTGGTGCAGGTTCACAAGACAACATCGTAACCATGATCATTTGGAACACATTGATCATTCGATCACGATCGTCGTCGTCGTCGTGATGACGTTGAGTTGGTATATATGTGCGCGCTCGCGTACACTTAGTTAATTTTACGATCCTCGTTCCGCTCATCTCACTTTCACACGCAGATTGGAAGTGTTTTCGTTAAGCGGGCTGCAGATCAGTCGGTCGTACTCGAACCACGTGACGATAATTTCACAGAATCCATTTCTGAGATGGACATATCTAGTACATAGTGATATTGGAAACGGTATTGATCGGTAGGGGCAGTTCGTTGTTTTTTCTATCGACACTTGGTCTTTGGCAGATGAGGAGATAACGCGCTCTCTCCGCCTTTCGCTGCCTCATCTACCGCCTCGACTCCATAAATCGACGTAATCCTTTCATCCAGTTAACTTTCGAATGGCATTCAAATTGGGCGCTAAAGTGAGTTGAGCGAGGAACTTTCTCTGATCGCCGTTTGTTGTCAGCGTCATTCACGAGATCTCGAATCAGTGATTACTCTAGTGCAAACCCGTAAAAATATCATGTATTGAAATCTATTCAAATAATTTAACTGAGTCGTTGGCTGACGATAGGTCTCAGTAAGATCAGTGACACCTGATCCAATCAGTCAGCAATCGCTCTGTCTTCCTTGCGATTAGTATTATCGAAAGAACAACAACGACACTGAATCGAGATTTGCGTAGAAAAACCAATATTCGAAAGCAGTATGAGTCTCTAGGCGTTGCTATAACGGTTTCACGACGATCGGCAATTTCTCATCTGGCACTCATTATTATTACTCATAATGTTCCAAGCCAGATGTGGCATTCATTGCGTGCTTTTCCCCTTTCGTAATAATGGAACGAACGCGTATACTGGGAATATATGTTGAGGTAAGCATTTAAGCACTCATAAAGGTAAGTAAGATATCTAAGATAGTTCAACGTGGCAGAAAAATTTCTTCTGGAACTCGGCCACACTGTCATTGATATCACAAGAAGCCTTTACTGGGCATCTTCTACGAAAATGGATTCATTTGTTGTCATATTATTCACTTTCACTGAAATTGATTTGATTAACTTGACTCACCTAATCGATCACTGGATTCAATTGTGATTCCAAGGATTTAGTATATTCCATCAGTCGAGGAATTCATAGTAGAGTAAGGAATCAAGAAAAAGTTGAGAAGTTCGGAATTTAGTTAAAAGAAGTAGAATTCCTGCTAAAGGTTCTAACGTTACCATTTCTGTGCTTTACACGAAGACTAGCGCTTTCGGAACGAACTTATAGCACGTCTTTCATTTCATGCAAAATTCGACACTGCTGCAATAGTCGGTTTTAGTAGTACCCAACGAAATATTAAAATATATAAAAACTTTTGCATTTATTGTGCATAGTGTGCCCTTGCAGTATTCGATTGCGGTTTGCGATAGGCATCTGACAAAACCGTCGCTGACCTTTACGCCTTCTCTGACCACGTTTCTCTGTTACAGAACAAAACTCCTGAATCAGTCGATTTCTTCTATATCCTATGTTTCTTTTATCTTCAGAAAGTATCTCTTTTTTATATATTAACATATCGTTTAATTCAATTCTATATTGAACTACATGCTGAATGACACTGAAGTCAAGTGAAACTCTTATACCACTTGATGAGCTCAGAAAATGAGGTATGCCAGACGCATTGCTTGAAGCCAGTTTTGAGGGGGCGATGCAAGCATTCGCGACCTCTAACGTTTAGCAACTCCGCCTTCTTTCCCAGCCCGATACCATCTTTTCGTTTTCGTCGTCTTCCGGTTCTAGCCGACTTTCCATTCTCAAACGAAGTGTTGATTTCGATGCCGCCCACGTGTTGCCATAGTATTGATTAGGCTGTGTTTTATGGTTTTACACCTTCCTACTTCATGGCTGATGCATTGTAAGAGTCAATGTGAAGATTGCTTTATCCGTTCACAGAACTTCACCACGTACCTACGACAGCACAGAACCGATTACGGAACGACGACAGGTCGCGATGTCGGTTGTCGCTGGCCGTGAATCAGCGACGACAGCAACTGTTCCGTCGGCATCTCGTCCATTTATTCGCATAGCAAAGCCCATCGACGACATAATCGCATCGTTTCGCTTTTGCGCGCACTGTACCCTTTAACCTTTTCGTGCAATTGTGTCGTCGGCACCTCTGAATTTGGTTTCGGCGGCATATGTTGTTCGTTCGCCGCCATCGCTTTTCATTCGTAGTCCGCGAAATCGACAAGAATTCTCAGCTTTTCCGGCGATCACCCTTAACTTAGAATCAAGTGAAACCTGTATCAGTGTTGTTCGATGGTGTATTCTCTATCAGGGTGTGTTATGAAGACGCCTAGCTATTCTTATGAGCGTAGTTTTCTCGCCGGCTGACAACTGTTAGCAGGTGGTGAGTCTGCACTGACCGATATAAGCCACTAGAGATGAACTGTCAGAAAAGTTCGAAAAGAAAATATGGGGTCTGTTTCATCGCTTGTATGTAGCATATTCTTATTTGTCCAGGCTTTCGTTACTCATTCCTTTGAGCAGTTTCGAGATCCTAAATAATTTCGAGTATCTTTATTGCTCAGAATGTTGCTTTGTGAACGAAATACGCCCAGGTTAGTATTCTATTGACACCCCTCGTTGTCTTATCATGTTGATCAGTATTATATCCAATGACTAGAGCCAATTTGCATAGGAGGCCATAACTTTGATTGATCCTCGTCCAAATTTCTCATCCGGTGACATCTATGATACCTCATTGTAATATTTTGTTTTTCTAAAGTTGCTCGTACTTGCTTTCCTTGTGGCGAACTGGCATCAGATGAATAGCATAAGCTTTCCCAGAATATCCAAGCATTTGAATCATATTTCTCGCTCTCTCGACCGTTGTTCCTCTCGCTCGCACCATACCACTCTACTCTTTCCTCTTTCCCTGATTGATGATGCCGCGCGCCTGTTCGTCCGTGTGTGTATATATGTATGTATGTATCTACGTATGTATGTATGTATGCATGTACATATGTATGCGTGTATGCATCTACCTGCGTGTGTAGGTATGTATGTACACATATATGTACGCATGTGTGCACGTGTGGGCGTTAGCATGTGTCTATACATCCATCAGAACTCAAATTACTGTAATCTCCTTTGAGATGATGCCGGCATTCTGCTCTGTAGTATGTACCATCATAGTTGAACAAGTCCAGATCCAGATTTCCATCTTCCTTCGTACTTGTATGAGCGGCTCTTTATATTCACTCGCATACTTTACTTCGTATTTCTACACCATTTGTTCGATTATCGAGTTATACTCTCAGACTGCCTGAACCGCTGCCGTTTTCTTTGCTTCGATTTGATTGAAATGGCCACAAAAATAATGTTGGCAACTGCGACGCGCTTTTCTCCGCCTGCTTTCGATTTCTTGGCGATCTGTGAGTGCACGCCTACGCGATAACGAATAACGACCTGACTTGTGATTCTATTTCTCTATACGCCACTTTCTCTTGCGCTCTTCCAGCCTCTCACACAAGTTGGAATAATTTAAGTGCTAAATTTACACAAGTATTTTTCGAGATAATTGTTTGATTTTTCCTACATTAGTTTCTTCTTGATACGTATATTTTCTTCTGTATTGGTCCTTTTCCCCGCCATAATCTGGACGAACTCTCCTCACTTGGCGGTGGCTCTCACTTTGATGTGCCGCTTCGGCTAAGGCCTGTTGGTTCGACACATCACAAGGGGCGGGGATGGCAGGCAACAGGAGACAGTTGGTCCTAGTCTTGGCAGCGGCAATTTGCAAGTACTGTATCGAATTTCTCGGAGCCCTTACGCATAATAAACTATCCTCCTGTGAACTTTTATCGTGTTTTTTCGTCTTTCCCTCAATTATTCCTTATCGTCATCACGTATTTCATTCCAACTATCGTTATTTTAACACCCTCTATTCTCTACGGGCAATATACCACCAGAGGTTAAATCACCTAACTGATAAAAAAGCTCATTTTAAAGAAGATTTTACCCACAAGAGAGCAGCTTGCTCCTCTTTCACATAGCTAGCGTTTACGGCTTCTGAGGAATAGGCGGCAGTCATATGTCCGCGGATCCCGATTATTCACATCTGGTGCAAATGCCCTTATCCTTTATGGGTACTCCAAAGGAGTTTCATCGTGCTACCCATATGATCTAGCTACTAAAACTGCTTTGTCTTGTCTTATCGAAGTGCACCTTTCATTTACAAATTGACATAACGTCGATTTTGATAACGACGATAAACGTACATGAATGCAGCGTGTTAGATGATGAGAACTGTGTTGTGAGAGCATTGTGTAACCTGTTCTAATTTGTAACACGCCCTTAGGCGACACGACGTAACCTTCTGATGGGGCGCGGTGTTGGTTGCAGGTTCACCACCCTGAAGCATCACATTGCACATTGACTCGATCTATTAACAACGACAGCGATGCTGTCCGCATAGCAGCACATCTGACAAAGCGATCGAAAGGAATCGTGAATCAGTGAGATTCCACGTTCATCAACTTGCTAAAGGCCGTATAAGACCTGCGGCGGGCTAATGTGAAGCCGGTGTTTGGTGGTATCGTTCGATTGAAATCCACGGTCTCGTCTAATCACAGCGGACGAGGGAGGTTTGGTTGTTTCAAATTGCGCAATAAGCGTATCGCCTTCACATCGCATTGCATCGGGCACCGGCAACAAACCTGAACTTTTGCGTTGCATCGTCGTCGTGCCGGCTGCTGCTTCCATCTATGAGGAGCAAGTCCAGCCCGTCGTCAAGCGGGTTTCGTCGACGAAAAAGAGTGCAAATTGGCTTTCACTTTCTGACTCTGACATATTAGCCTCTTCTACGACAGCGACTCTTCAAAATCACCTTCCCACTCTGCTCAGCTGACAACTTTCACTTACTAACCAGGAACTTATGTGATACAAACCTCGTTGTATTGCGATTTGTACGTTTAAATAGGTCAGATATAGTAAGTGGATTTATTGTATGGAAGTATATATTCTATTGCAACTGATACGAATGTCTGGATGGCAGATTGCATAGAATTCCATAAGGAAAGAAATATAGATCAAGAGAAAGTGCAAGGAAAAAACAGTCAGTGGGTATTCCCAAGATTGTGGGAAGTGGGAAGAATAAGGAAAGATTCCCAGGAAAATTGGGGATTCCCAAGGCGCTTTCTGGCGTGTAATGAGTTTACACTTTTGTTAAACATTGAAAGGTCAATTTATGAACGCCAATATTACATTGCTGGTATATTACGTATGCAAGCAAATAAGCTACCCTCACTGTTCTTTAATAATTCTACTTCGTGTTGGTTGGGCAAGAAAGCACCTCTAGCTAAAGACTCTGCAGAACAAATTCTTCTGCGATTATCACCACTTCGTCACAATCTCGGTCACTTTTGCGTCCCATTCTCGAGCCCGTGACCTTCGAGAAAAAAAGCACGATCATTCGTTCTTCGGCTCCACATCTATTTCACCCCTATCACCACCACAATACGTTGCCATCCACACACATACACACACACATGCACGCACACACGCACACACATACACATACACACACATATATATGCACACCGTCGCCAAGCTACCGTATCTCACGGAGCGCGTCCGTGGGCGTGGCCAAGCGTCTATATCAACTCTCGTGGCGCCCACTCCAATTTTTGCCCAAACAAGTTTTGCCAATGATAACCCAATGCGACTCAGTTCATCACTAATTGTTCATTTACTCGATCGATACTAACAAACACATAATTGTCTTGAAACTAATGGATTTACGATTCTAACGCGCCTTAAGCATGGTGTGCTCAAGATATACATGTTTATTGCGAGCGACACTCGCATATTATGTGAAGCAAGTGCAGATTTTACTGTCATTATGGTATCACGTTTCGTTTAGCGGATGTGCTGATTGTAGTCGTGAGTGACATCGAGTATAAACGTAGAAATCATGGAGATTCAAGCGCATCTCATGCACCACAATCCGTACGATATAGTTAAGGCGGAAGAGCCATCGACTCCACCAAAGACGAAGGCCACATGTAAGTGCTCTAATGCGGTGAAGATCGCTAAGAACTCATCTGTCAATTTTGTGGGACAAGTTGAAGTAATACCCCGATTTCAGAGTTGATCCTGATGTTTTGCTATGTTTGTTGTCTTCTTTTCCACACAATTTCTGTTCTTCTCTTAGAAATTACTTCGAAAAAAAATCTTCCTTTTTTCGGCGCTAACATTTCTTGACTTCGAATTTACCGTAGCTGCGTTGATTGATGCTTAGAGTTTCGTCGCGCTACGATTGGTATGGTCAAGGCAAGCAAGAATCACTGCTGCAATCAGAACAATACATAGGACGAATATACACGTTCGAAAAAATGATTTTTATGTGATATAAGTGTTCTGGAGCCTCACGAACGTGAAGGTGTTCAATTTCAGTATGCTCATCGACGGACATGCTCTTCAGTGTGTCTAATTTCAATATACAATCGAATTTCTGCCCACCGGTCAACAACAATCACGATCCGTTGAACAATAATCACGTCAAAATTAACTCTAACGGTGTGTTACTTGTGGCAGTAATGAAGTGGAAGAACAATCGTATCGATTTCGTTGCTTTAGGCAGAACACTAGCCGCCGACCGTAAGCGACCGTATCCATGTAATTTATGCACGTCACGATTCGGCAGCAAAATGGAGCTCGAAGAGCACCAAAATAGTCATACCGGCATGAAACCATTCGAATGCGATGTGAGAGCAGCTTTTCAAACATATTTATGTGTGTAATTATAGAAAATTTGTAAAAGAATTCAAAAAGATCCACTTGGAGAAGACCTGAGTCATCGTTATTACCAAGAAGCTATTTGAAATGTCAGTAAATTTTAAGAACGCACTATCCCACTGCTTATCATGACTCAGTTCGATGGGATTCCTTGACACCCACGTGTTTCTTTACGAGACCTGCTCTCTTTATAGGTTTGTAAAGCACGATTCAATCGCCGGTCGACATTATGGAATCACAAACGAATTCACTCAGACGCGAAGCCGTTTGTTTGTACTGTATGTCAGATGACGTTCAAGTGGAAGAACAGCTTAAAGGTGCGTGAGCGGTGAGAGAGACGTTGAAGAAGCTTGTAAATTGGAATCTTACGAGAAAGAGATGCTTGGCAGAGGCGATAGTGTTTGAGCCTGTGGTAGATCATCCTAGGTGGTCAGTCCCATAAAATCCCTTAATACTCTTCTGCTTTTCTAGTGTCATAAAGAAATGCATATGCGAAAAAACGAGTCCACACCACATATCGACAATGATCTACGTCAACTGACGTATGCAACAGCGGCTAAGAGAAAATTGGTAGGTCTTCATACCTTCGAGTGAAATATTCTTATGCTCAGTTTAATTTTTTAAGAGCTTTTCCTACGCATTTAGATGATGGATCAGGAAGAACAAGGTAACCCCGCAACGTCTTCGGCGTCATCAATTCATAGCCAGCCGCTGATAACCACAACAACACCAAAGAAGAAAACGAATAAGGTCTGTCGTTGTTTCAAATGAAAGAACTGAACACTATCCCAATTAAATTTACATTTATGTAGTAACATTCCAGTCTTCACCAAGTCACGCCGTCGGCGCCATTCATCTGAATCCCATTACACAACCTTTGCAAGCAGTTCGTTTTCTGATGTTCAAGTTCCTCTTGTCACTACCGTTTAGTAATCGTGTATTGTCTCTAGAGTGCCCTTATTCCGCCATCAGATCATCAGCTAGACTTGGATACAAGCTCGCTGGATACTCTTGTCAGCAGCAACAACAATCTTCTGATGCATATTTATAACAGGTTGAGATTTTGCGAACTGAAAATAAGAAGTCTTCTCGAAACTTCACGAAAGTGCAACATTTCAGCGAGGTTGACCCTTCATTGTCATCACGTCATACCAACTCAATGTTGAACGGTATCGATGACAACATGTTGAATTCGCAGTTATTAGGGGATATAAAAAACGAAGTATTGATAATTTTGCTAGTTTAACGTGATTTGCATGCAATTCATTTAAACTTTGTACTTTTAGTCATCCTTGGGCGGCGGCGCAACGACGACGGCGCCGATTAACGTGCATTTGCCGATGCAGCTGAACATGCTGAATTTTAGGCCCATCAACCCTCAACAGCTGGTACGAGAAAAACCTTTAACATTTAAAAGCGCATCACTCTATTCTTATGAGCGTGTGTTGAGCTCATGACGGACACACGATGGCGTTTTCACTCGTGCATATCCGGCAACTCTTTTCAGCCGTCTGTGCACCACCTGACGTCGACATCGCTGCCTGTCTCCGTTCCGATGGACTACAGCATTCATAGTGATACAGCGGGTAACGTTGCTCATCCGCAATACATTGTCACCACACAACCGGATATGATGCTGCCACAAGGAATTGGATATCAACATCACGGAGTATGTGAACCTATCACAGTAGACAACTGAGTTCTGCTACCATAAGGATGCTGAGATATGAGCAAAACTTGGAATCCTCAGGTGACCTTCGAACCCTTATCGGGGATTTCCGTTGACAGATGATTGCTGATAGCAGCGATAGAGTAAAAGCGTGGCTGAGAGAAAAGCAAAACAAGGACCTCGATTGGTGTGGTGGATAACAAATAAGCCCAAGGTAAGAATAATTGCGGTTCGAAGCACAGCTGAGCGTTCCGAGTTCTGCACATATCTACGCATCCTTGTGGTTGCATTTCACATCGTATCCTGTCATGAAAGAAGATTAGGCAGAAGATGGAAGTTCAAACATTGCGTTTTGTTACCGCAGGACAGCTTCACTTTCTTAGGACAAAGAAAACAGAGTGTTATGTAAAAATTTTTTTGAAAAATCATGATTTATTCGCAGTGTACAGAACATAAAAGTGTAGGATTGCGCTTTTCTTGAAAGTAGAGGTTATATTCGCTAGTGTTTTCAGTTGGACCAATGCGTTATACTGACGACAGGGCACGACTATGTTCCAAACTTCGACTATCCTATGATTGGTAGCTATCAGATGCAAGCCGAACAACACGAAGCTACACCGTCGGCGCACGAATCTAACGACGAAAAGATTGTCCCATATGAGCAATGGTAGAACTATATATAGTCCCCAGTATTCCCCAAAATGTTCTCTAATCTCAGTGTCATGCTTACTAAATTGTTTTCATTCTTTTATCGTTGTCATCTTCGTTGCCGTTTCTTTTTTCTTCTTTTTAATATTCTGTTGTATGTGTGCTTGTCTGTGTGTGTGTGTGTGTATGATTGTTTTTTTTTTGTCTCATTCACACTCCAGTATATTTCACAGCCGTCGGAAGGGTGCAACTAGTCGACTTTGAGTGCTCATATTGAGAATTATCACATCTAAAACACATCCAAAACAACTCTCTTCCGCTGTGACTCTACGCCACAGTATTCTTATCCCACCGTCATCAATGAAATGATGAAGAGGTGCGATTATTTATACATGTATAATATCCGTTTATGTTTTTAGAAAGTGCTTCATTCAGTGTCATTTTGATCTTTTCTCAGCCATGAGTTCCGCCATATTATTCCCAACGTTATTGAAAATTTTTCCTCCTGTGTCTCCCGTCTTTTTTAACTGCTTTGTTCGTTTTTTTTCATTCTATTACTGTTTCGTCGCCTTAGAATCGCATGTTTCGTTGAGTTATATATCCTTTCCGTCTCTCTGTATGTGAATCATGAGTGCCATCTGTGTAGTTATTCGCCTTATTTTCACCATGTGATTCCGTGTGTGTGCCTTCCTTGTATGTGTGATTGGACGACATCGTGTTCGTAGCAGTAGTAGTTTTTTTCCTCTTTTTCATGATTACCATTCTTATAGTTCGCCGACGCGAAACCCGTCCAATCACTCTTGAGCCGATCTCTGCTCAACAACCGGACCGCAGCAGTCCACTAAGCCTTTCACTGCACAATTGCCTTCCTGTTTTTCTTGTCTCTCTTACTCTCTTACATTATTAAGACCACTACCGCTCCGTAGTCAATAAGGTTCGATCGGACCGTAGATAGACGTTGGACATTTCGTTTTCCGACTTTCGACTAACACAGTCGCGTCGAACCGAACGCAGCAGTTGCGTCGTGTAGTTTAAAGTGTTTAGCCAGACGTACCTATAGAGAGATGTTTGTATATTCTGTAGAAATACCCGTGGTTTTCGTCATCAAATCGATTCATTTTTCTATGATGTTTTCATCAACGACGTGTTAAGATTCAAATAAAACAGTAAAACTTATCTTCGTATTTATTAAGATTTTGGAATGAACACGAACAAAAACGTTATAGAAGAAATACGGAGGTGATCTTAAGAAACGAAAAGGTATCATTTTGTTTCTTAGATTGTCTCATTCTACCGTTGTCGTTTGCATCTTAATGCCGAACTTCGTCCAACAAGTGGGTGTGGGATTCTCGAGTTTGAAGGATCTCATTTATTAGCTTAAAAACCAGGATATAATTTACGACATCCGTCGAAAGTGCTGCACCACTGAACTCTTTCACTTTCTTCTTATGCTGCTGTTAGCGAAAATCTGATCCGTTAATCCAGAAAACGGCATTACGCCTCCAAGCAAGATATAACAAATCTACGTGGTCATTTATCTGAGTTCCGTTAGAGGATTCCGAGAAGTGTTGCGACAGAGAAGAGTGGACAAAGCTTCATTTCAATAATGTACCTGGCTTCTGGGAAAGGGCGGAGAACGGCAGAGCGATCAACATGAAAAACTGGCAGCGAAGTTTCAAACTCGGACTGAACCTCCATCCTTTTCAGTAACGAGCACGAGGGTTCTAAGCCTGAGCTCACACTAGTTAAATCAGTTCTACCTTTGTCTTTCTCAGAACGATTGAATTTCAGATGGGTTCCATGCATAGTGGATTTTTGCCAATTAAATCACGATAAATGCACATTTGTAAATAGTTATAGCACAAATAAACAACAAAACACTTCCGATGTCAAACATAGAACAATCGGTAACGTAACAGAGCCGGTATTTAAAGAAGAGCTCAATGATTTCAAATTTTGTTTAAGCCGCTGGAATTGTTTCGTGCTGATATTCACTGTCACAACATAACTTATTACACTTTGTAACTATGAAAAAAGTACATTTTTTTACTAGAGTACAAATGTAGTACGTTGCTGGTTGGAAAAAACGATCAGTTAGTTTACAATGATGGATTAGAAATTACTCCAAATGGTGATGATCTAAATGGAGAAGGTAGGTCTACGACCTACAAGATGTACAAATTTAATTCAACCTAACATTCTAACTTGCTTTAAAGCATTCAATGTTACAGAAAAGAGCCTGTAGCACGTTGCGCATTAAAATATTACTTTATTCTTTTGATTAATGAGTAGTATTGTTAGTAATATTGTTAGAATATTGTTGTTAGAACAGTAAAACAGTGAACCGGCTGATAAGGAAGCATTGGACAAATAGTGATGTGGCCGACGTTTAACGCGTCATTGGTGTCCATGGAAACGAAATCGTGCCAATGGAATTCCACAAGGAAACGTACGAGCATATCCCTGCAAGCATAAATCTACAATGAAACTTCAATTTCTATCAACTCTTCTTCCACAACAGGTAAAAACTCTAAGTGGTTACTGTTCGTCTACCGTGTACTCACAAGCTTTCTGTGCATCGTTATCCGTTCATAAAACACATGTTTCTTCTCAGATCTGATTTTTACTTTGTCTTAAATTTTTTCTAAAGTAATAATGAGTATAGGAGGGTTCGAATAAAATATGTTCGCTGACTTCTTCACCGAACGGCGCCAAATTGGCGGTTGTCGGAAGAGATCGCATTATCACCCTGATCGACGAGAAAGGTGAGGTGAAAGATCGGTTCAGTTCGAAACCGGTGGATCAGAAGGTGAGCATTACGTCATTTGTCTAATTCTTACTCATATATTGTAATAAAAATAGGTAAAAGCTATAGTAGCACTGAGAAGTTTTTAGAGGCCTCTTTCAGTTGTAATGTAATCGAAAAATTTGATTCCGAACAGAAAAAGGCGTGCTAGTTAGTTTCAAAGAGTACATCGAAAAGGTTAGCCCACTTTAAAGCAGATTTTGCACCCATCTGCTTCAAAGTTTCTCTCATTGACATCTAAATTTATTCTGGTTCTTGTACTTGGAAAAATAAAAGTAATATCTTAGGCCATTTTTTTAAGTACGGAAAGAAATCCTACATAATCAAATCGATCTGCTTTTCACCGGACTCATCAAAACTTGCCGTCGCGCAAACGGATAACGTTGTCTACGTGTTGAAAATTGGAGAAACCTGGTAAACACTTCTATTTCAGTTCGCGTTTTATTTCTGGAGAAAGAGCTATTAGAGGGCTCTTAAAGTGTGCTTGTGAAGGTACGTACGTATCCGTGAGTACACTTTACTGTGAATGTATGTATCTCTACGTATGTCTGTATATTGTGTGTTGGTACAAGTATTTACATGCATTAATCAATAATTTATGATCGATAGTTGATTATCATAAGTGAAACTTTGTTTCTTGCTTCGCTATTTGCGCTGTCTGCGGATTCATCTGGTATTGTGGCCGTCATCAACTTCGAATGATACTCATTAAATTTCGTGGCCGGCCAATAGTCTATCGATTCTATGCATAAGCGAACAGGTGCTCGATAGGTGAGAATAAGTATGTGAAGTTCGAAACACATATTGAGCTTAATGGTCATCATTTCTAAACTCATTTCATCATCTGAAAAACAATCCTCATTCCTCCTATCTCATATGTTCTCCAGCAGTAGGTCTGACGGCATTCTTCTATACGAATGACGGTCTCTCAGTGTTGAGTTCAGCTAAAAGTTTGAGGGTAATCGGAGCGACGAATGAGAAGGATAAATAAGTTCCTCTGGAAAAGAGAACAGCAGCAACAGTCACCTCACGCACTAAGAATGCAAAAAACTCGATTATTTACGTTGGACACATGCTGACCGAAAGTCTTGCAACCGATGTTTTACCTATTGTCGACGATGACATCGTCGTTCGCTAATGGTAAAACAACTTCATGTTGAGGTCACACACTTTCAGAAATCTATAGCCTACCTTGTGTTCAGGTCTCTTACCCATTTCATGTATCCGCGATAACCTAGAGAAACTAATTTTCAATGTCAATCTTAATTTCATCACAGAGGAAAGCATGAGAAAGAATTCTGGAAGGCGTTCTAAAATTTGGATGCAAAAGCTTTTTATTGCTTTCGATCACGACTAATTTAACAGTCCTAGAAATTTTTTGCAGTTTTTTTCTATTAACATTCTACTAGGTGCCTTCAATTTTCACAACGAACTTCTTCTTCTTAGACTAAAAATACCGTATGCCCGTAGTCCCCAGAAAGTCCTGGGAAAAGAAGCACTTTGGATGGCCGTGCATATTAATTCTTAGAAACATGGCTTATCTTTTAGGGGATTGTAAATTGGCCTACCGAATTTCTTTCTATTACAATAAGAATGAAACGAAAAGGTAGAAAAGATTGGCTATGGAGATAAACGCTGCAGCTGTGCAGCTTAATCTTATCCAAAGTATTTTCTCCTATAATCGTTGTTAACATATGAACAGTATTTGAACTTGCAGTTACGCTTAACATCGAGACCTGCTAAGTTTATATTCGGTGAAATTCATCAAAAGGCGACGAAGTTGTATTGATACCAGCAATGTGTGAAATTCCTGTAGATAACTGGGCGCAACTCTCTGAAACAACACTCTCCACTAGCAGTATATATCGTGAACTAGAGATTTTAATTAGTAAAACGAATTTAATGCACAAATTAAGTGTTTTGCTTAACCATCATTCGTCGATCACTTGATATTCAGCGATGTTGAAACGGCCACCACATGCTCTTGTCCAACCCACCACAAACTATGTTCAACCAGCCGAGTGTTCAAATCGATTCGACTTCATCCGAAATTGTCGAAAAGACACGAATTATCGACGAAGTGAATTCGAAGCACTTCATAAATATGCCTGATATGTGAATCTTTTCAGGAACGAAAAGAAAGTAATCGTCAACAAACTACCGCAAACTGCTGCCGCAACAGTCGTCGAATGGCCATTCGATGACAAGTTGCTAGTTGGACTTGCTGACGGAAAACTACGTGTTGGTCTACTTAGCAGTAATAAATGCAGCTCCCTTTACAAGACTGACGAACAGGTGGTGAGCATCAGTGTCAAGTAGGTGATATCGGGTACAATTCCATAATGATTACCTGTTATCACACTCATAGAAAGCCGACAAGTAGTGCATTTCTATCATTTTCCGTTCGTTATGCTTGTCACTACTAATTTCAATGAAGTGTCGGGCGCCAAATAAGTTACACCATAAGAATCAAAACAGTATCTATGAGTTTATTCAAGGAACTGTTCACAAGGATGAACAATGTGATAAAGTCGTCGTAACACATGGAAGATTCATGCAAATCATATCCGAATCATAGTGAACTCTATTGATTGACTACCTCTGATAACCTAAGTGAACGTTTCCGTGGCGACACCCGTCTGTCCCACTATCCCGGCCTCTCATCCACTTCTTGCAATAGTTCTTGCACTTGATATTTTCTACGACTTCCTCTTTTACAGTCTGCTTTTAACGACTTTTATTTCGTAGATGGGGAATGTACTACACGTGTTCTTGCGTTTTCAGCCCTCGAAAAACTGCTTTCGTCTCTGGTCACCAGGATGGCTCCATCATACACTTCACATTCAGTAATAAAACGCAGGTAATTCCTACAAGTATTTAAAATAGCAAGCTGTACTAAATAGTCAATTCCTTCACTGTTGATTATTAGATGAAATTATGCTCAGTGCCAAGTGCGCCATTCTGTTTGGCCTACACGGCTCACGGAATCATCGCCGTCAGTGACCGACGTGTATTTTCATACACAGGTTCCTTCTTTCTTTCTTTCATTCATGGTCGACTCTTTAAAGCTCTGTTTCTTTTTTTACCTACATTAGACTTCTTCGGTTTAGTAACTAACTGGTTGAGAGACAGGCGAAACGAGAGACCAGCATGGTGTGGTGGTGAACGCGTTAGCCTCAGGAAAGGGCAATAGCGCGTCCGTTCTCCACCGCAGACACGTGCAGTCCGGAGTTTTGCAAATATCTCAGCATCATTGTGGTTGTATCACATATAATACTTTGCCTTGAAATACCGTAAAAGGCAGTAAATTAAAAAGTTAACAATGTGAAGTTCAGTAGGTGTTTTTCAACCGATCAATATCGGTGTGTTGTTACTAAATATCACATATTGTTACGTTACTACGGTGCTTTGTCAGACATTTTAGGCAAAACTTATACCTCTATTGTGAATGATCTTCTTCCTTTCTTTATTTGTCTTCCTCTAGTACTTTCATTATATTTCTTTTTAGAAAGCGGTGTCGTTCAACAACAGTTCGATTTCACTTCACAGCATGAAAAAGAATTTTCGGCGATCACAACGGATATCACAGGAAGCAATGTGGTCCTAGGAAGCTTTGATCGGTTGGTCTTTCTTCATTTTCTATTTTTTTTTAGAGGAGGAAATGAAAGTTCCAGTTCCACTGATTATTAACATTATTTTTTTCATTTTAATGTGTTTACTTCAATATTGTTCACCACACTTCTTCTTCTTCTTCTCTATTCATAGCCTTCGTCTATTCTCGTGGTCGTTTCGTCGTGGAGCATGGGAAGAAGGAAATACGCTGGACATTCAAAATTTTTATATTTGTAGTGCTCTCAGCTGGAAATCGGACGGCTCAACATTGTACTGTGTAAGCAAAATTATGACAGATTCAAAAAATTCCTGTTAACTTGCTTCTTCTAAGCGCCTACAATCAGATTTTCTAAGGCATTCTTTTCTTTTTTAGGAAAATGCTTACAGCTTCTATAAGAAGACTTGTAGAATGCAGTAACCCTAAGAAACTTTGTAGAATGTTTTTCGACATTTCTCTCTAAGACTCTTTGAGCAATTTCTGCGTGCTTGATCCATTTCGATGGCGCGTGTAGCTTAGTGGTTGACACTGTAATACATATTGGGAACCATCCCGCGCTCCAGGCTCACCAAGCCTTCCAACTCTCTGGAGTCGTCAAATTGGTAGCAGACTTGTTTGGGACAAGAGAACCACTGACTCGATACATGATAGGCCACTGTGGATCATCCCGTAGGCCAGATATGCGTTGAGGCACCTCTAACGATCTTTAGTGAGTTGAACAAGGCAATGAAAAAAAGTTAGGTAATTCAGAAGAGAGGAACGAACAAGTTAGTTGAGAGTAATCGTTCTTTAGGGCACGCTGTGCGGCGGTGTGATCGCCGTTGATTGTTGCCTCCGAAGAGGAATGCTGAAGAGTCGATTCGAGACGACATACGTCGCTCCGTCACACGTTATCATTCGTGACGTCGTCACAGACACCAGAACAAACTTGGTGTCGCAAAAAGGCTACGCTATCGAGAATCTGAAGGTGATTGGCATAAAAATCGTATAGTTTTACATTTTTTCTTTTCCAAATCATTAAATTCATTCTTGTAGAAAGAGTTATCAGATTAGCTACCGTAAACAGCATTCGTATAATAGGAATAAATGATCCAACGGAGAATTTATTAATTGAGCAAATGAATCATTGCACAACTGTTTTGGAATATTAAGATGAATTTTGGAATGAATGAATAAATGGAAAATGAATGTGACTGAGGAAAAAATGAATGTGAATGAATAACTACTGAGGCTTTCAGATCATGGGAAAGGATCGCTATGTAGTGGCGTTCACAAACTTCTCACTCATACTGGCCGACATTCAAACAGAGCTTTCTTCAGAAATTGAATGGCAGCCCAGTGGAAACGAGAAGCCAGTTTTAAAATTAACATGTTCTTAAACCATTTTTTTTCTCTGCGCTTTTCATTTTTTATATTTTTGTCACAATACTTCTCTGCTTCCTTTGCTTCCTTATATTTTCTCTCTTCCTTTATGCTGTGAGGCAGTTTCAAGTTTCCAACTTTTATTGGTTTTAGCAATCTGTAGCATATTTCTAAAATGCAGTTTTGATTGATAAGCTGAAACGAGCTAGATTTTAGATGTAGACGTGCAACTTGGCGCGTAGGGACAATTTTTTATCTCCTTCGTGTTAGCTTATCAGCAGAAAGTACATGTCGATTAGTAATAACGAAGTTAAAGAAAAGTCGGTTTTTAAAATTTTTCTAAAAAAAGCGTCTTTTTTTGTATCGAATTTCGTTATATTTTAGATTCCACTTCGTTTTTGAGAAGGTCTGCATAATTGTCAACGCTGGTGAGCTGACGATAGTGGAGTACGGTATCGACGGTGCTCTTGGCTGGGTGCGAACTGAGCTCACCAGCCCACACCTGCTAAGGTGAGGATGTTTTTCGTTGTTTTCTTCTCTTTTGAAAAGTTTTAAAAAGACTAGAGCTCATCTTGATAGTAAAGCTATGAGCTTGCTTTTTAGTGTAAGCGTCTCAAATGATGCATCGGGTACGTCTGCGGTTAGGAAAATAGCCTACCTTACCGACCCTACTTCAATAGCGATAAGTAGGTCTTTCTATGTCGTTATATCGCAATTAATTTTTTGTTATTATTTATTACCATTATCGACAATATTATTTTGGTATCATTAAAGTTGGGTTAGAAGTAATCGATTTCTTAGAATTTCAATTTAAACGAAATAAACTCAGCTTATGCTTAAACATTGTCTATTCCTTTATCATTTCTGTACCGAGTAATTGAGCAAAATAACCATTATTGTGCTCTGTCTGAGTGCTACTATGGTCTCCATTCGTCGTGATGCGATTCAGTGCTCTCCACAGCTCATAGGGACGCAAACAACTTTTCAACAATCGTTCAGAGCCTTGTACTGGCTTACTTGATGCTTAATGCTTGAATATCCCGTCCTCACTGGTTGTGCGGTCCCCAGCGCAATTTTCACTTTTAAGGGATCTGCTGGTTAAGCCATCGTGATTCTCTGGAATCCTGAGGCCAGCCTGGCCAAATTCTGCCTCAGGTCTTCACCACCACAGGCAGTGGCAGCTCTTCTGGATCAGAGGGATATTTGCCACCATGCGACTTCATTGCCAGAACGGTGGCGGATCCTGGCATTTGTTTGCTTTTAGCTAGGCTTTCTGATAGAAACGTCGGGCTTTTCAGTTTGGGGGCCCTTGCCAGTGGATGAATCCCCCACAATACATCGCAGTCCGATACCCAGGAACATCTCCCAGCCGCGATGAGGCGGTAAGCCGTTGGGAGGCTTTGTACTGGCAGTACTTGTAAACGGCAACTCTCAACCGTCTCTGATGTATTTTTAGTAAGGATGGAAGACTTCGATTAGTTTGGTATAGAAGACACTATTTACGCGAGAAGACATTTCTGCACACGCATATGTGAATGTGTATGATTACATAAGTCAACGCTGTACACCAAAAATTCGACAGCCCACCCATAAAATCTTAATAGCCATCGACCCTGCTTAACCTTATGTTTTTCTGGTAGTAAGTTCCTCAAAAGGTAGAGATCGGTAGTATTAAACTTTATTAATGAGGATAAAGATTATCAATGCCAGTTTACTTACTGAGTTGCTTAGACACCCTGTCTTCACATGTGGTGTACGCCCCTACAGTTCCTCCTTTACGTCCACCATTTTGCAAATGCAATCCAATGTGGAAGACACTCTTACAAATCATAGAAAGATTTGCTGCCTTATAACAAGAATACATCCAGAACGGAAGCGATTCACTCTATTTGTCGGCTGGTATGTTAGGTAGGTATAACAAAGCGTACACGCATTCAACCAGTTACTGAAAGTGTCACCGGAATAGGTCGGTTTTAATCTTCAATTCCATTCCAATTCATTGATTTTATTGTTGTACAATTTTGAAGTACTGAAAGGTGCGAATTCTGCGAAAGTATTCACAGTAACTGTTTCGTCGTTGAAGAATCCGCTTAGAAATTACCCAGATGACTTGTTTTTAGAAAGTGAGTTAAACGAGTATTGTGATTAGATGGTGTTCGTAGGCCAATTTATCCTACTTCTTCTTGATTGGTGGGACACGTGGTCGGGCACGATTACACACAGAAAAACAATTTTTTACCCCACTTCATTGGCTCCAGAACAACGCTGTTTTTAGTTGAATTAAAACGATTTCAGAAATTTTTATGGATGACTCCAACTCTCATTTGGACAATCGTTATTTCACAATTACAACATAAGATCTGCTAACAACTGAACTGTCAAAACAGTTTTCTGTTATTAAAGGGTAAAAGAATGAAACTCTCGGCGTTGATCAATCCCTGAAGGATGCGCCATGCATTCGACTTCATTAAGTACCGTTGGAGGAGCTTCAACGCATATCTGGCCTTTACAATGACTCGTGGTGGCCTGCCGATGTATTGAGCCAGTCCTACTGTCTCCCCAGACAAGTCTTGTACTATTTGCCGACCCCAGACTGATGGAAGGCTTAGTGGGTCATAAGTGCGGGAATCGATTCCACGTGTGTTGCAGGGCGCCTTCGACCCTTGCGCCACACGCTCCCTATTATTCTTCTGTTATTACTAACCTGCAAACTACTTGTCAAAAAAGCTGTCTCTCATTTTCAATGAAAAAAGTGCAATCTTTCCTTTTTTGTTATCGCCATTCTCTTCATGAACCCAATACAGAGGCGTTTCTTAATGGTTGTTGTTATTACTACTTGTTTGCTATGAGCATTTTTTCTGTCTTTCTTTCATTTTGACTGTCCACATAGATTGGATTTTCCGATTCTCTTTCTCATTTACGTAGAACGAGGTACTGCTAGCATTATCCTCTCAACAGTGTGTTCGATAATCTTGAATGGTCTTTCATTCTGCTTACCTAGCATCCAGGTTTTCAAACCTTAAGGCGGGACGAATTACTATATCGAAAAGATGAAGTGGCTTTTGTTCTGCTTTGTTAACATCGCTACAGCATTAATACTTTCCAAAGCTTACAAGACGCTCCTTGCCTTATGCTCATCTCTAGAGCTACGTCGTTCATCTTGTTTATCTCTTTATTAAGCTACATATAGCTACAGCATTAAGAGAAAGTGATTCTGCTGAGAAATAAACACACAAGTTACCAAATTTATTTAATTGACTTTAAATTCAAATGCATTGATCGTTTTTAAGCACCATTTTAGATTTTATTAACCGCTCTTGTTTTTTCATAGCACGGCGTGATGTGAAATATAACCACAATGATGTTGAGATATTCACAAAACTCAAAACTGCACTTTGGCTCCAAATCAGCGATTACCCTTACCGGGCGCTCTCGAGCCTCACTGCATCAACCAATGCTTTGCGTCTGCCTTTGTCTTGGCTATGCTTTAACTTTATCGTGCCATCGGCAATCGGCGGTCAACGGGAGTCACCTGGGGTGCAAAAATCGCCACTAAACTCAGTTAAGCTGGAACTGCATTCGAAATCACATTGCTTTGACATTTTATTTCCTGCCTATCTTTTTATTTGTATTCGTGGTAGGTCGCGTGTGAGCACGCGGAAAGGTTAGCAAAAGACCAGATATGTATTCAACCACCTCTAACGATACTTAATGAAGTCGAATGCATGGCGTATCCATCAGGGATTGATCAACGCTGAAAGCTTTTCCCTTTTTTATTTCATATTCATTATTGACTCTCAGTGTTCATTGAATGTTTGCAAACGTTTCCATTTTGTACTTTATAAATGTTATTTCTAGCACTGAGTGACCTTTCATCCTGCTTACGCAGCGACCAGGTTTCTGACGCATACGTTAGGGCAGGAAGTACCGTTGAGTCGAAAACGTGGGCACGGAGTCGGGTGTTCTTTGTTCTCTTCACTACATCCTCGTTCCTCTTCAAAGCTTCCCAAGCCGCTCGTTTCCTTCTGCTCAACTCAGGCACTAAACCGTTCATCACGTTGATTTCACGTCCTAGGTAGACATAACTAGAGCATTTGGAGATATTCGTTGCGTTGAGCGTGAATGGGGCATGCGAAACCAATCCGTTCTTCATGAACATCGTTTTTGTGAGATTTAGTCGAAGACGAGTCTTTCAACAGACTTTATCAAAGTCGTCAAGCATACGTTCCGCTTGGCTAATGTTTGGTGTTACAAGGACAATGTCATTAGAAAAGTGAGAATGGTGTAACTGCCAGCCATCGATTTTCACTCCCATATTATCCCATTCCAATGTTCGCATGACGTTCTGGAAGGTGGCGGTAAATAGTTTTGGCGAGATGGTATCGCCTTGCGCAACTGCTCTTTTAACGTTAATGTTAATATCGTTGTAGAATTGTGATATCTTGGACGTAAAATTTTTATACAGCTCACGAAGAATCTTTACGTACTGAGTAGAGACTCGTTGACTATCAAGGACTTCCAAACTGCTTCTGTTTCAACTGAATCAAAGGCCTTCTGTAAATTGGTGAAAGTGAGACAAAGCGGTCTATTCTACTGTTGCGACACTTCAATGCGCCGTGTTACCGTGTGGATGTGGTCCATCGTACTAAATCGTTTTCGAAACCCTGCTTGCTCACGTGGCTGTCATTCGTCTAGTGTTCTGTCAATCCTGTTTAGGATGACTAGAGTGAAAAGTTTGTAGACGACAGACAGCAAGCAGATTGGGCGATAGTTGCCGATATCGTGCAGGGCACCCTTCTTGAACAATAACACGGTTTTGCTGGTCTTCCACTAAGTAGGGACCTTGCATTCAGACAGGTAACGTGTGAAGAGCCGAGCCAGTGTCTTACGAGGACTGGCGGAAGGTTTCTCAGGTGTTCTAGTCTTATCCTGTCCGGACCTAGTGCTGTTCGATTTTTCAACGACGAAATGGCACGTCAGATTTCGGAAGGGTGAACCAGTGGTACAACATATCCATCCTCCATTATTTCATATGACGAAAGGTGGACGTGGCTATCAAAGAGATCCGAGTAGTATTCGTGAATGATTTCTGGGCGCAGGAGTGCAATCATTTTGGTCCTGTAATTGGCGAGGCTTCGGTGGGCTTTGCGAATGCTTTTCCCAGCCTCTGTAGCTTCGACCATTACTACTGCTCTTCTCGCTTTAAAATCTTCTTCTATGGCCTACCCGCGTTGTTTTCCAAGCCCGGACTTTAGTTCGCGGTTGCCTGCAGCTCGTGCGATTTCACGCTGGCGTTTCAGCTTGAGTGTTTCTGGAGACAAACGTCTCTCGGTGACCTTCGAACTCTCAGCTTTCACAGCGCTAATGTGAAGATGTTGAATGAACCGATCGTATTCTTCGTCGATGTTATCGACAGCGGCACCTTCCCAACAACCGACTAATGAATTAAATAAGTCCCAGTTTACGGTGGTTTTGGGATTTCGGTTTTGGAATTTAGCGGCTTTTTCTCCTTTCCGCGAGAAATAGAATCTTGCACGAAGGAGACGATGTTCTGATCCCGTGTAGAATTTTGGGACAACAGCGACATCGGCTAGGCAAAAGCTTCTATTTACTATAAAGTGGTCTATTTCGTCATGGTACTCTCCATTGGAATACTCCCACGTCCAGCGTTGAGGGTGGGGCCTCTGGAATTGCGAATTGCCATGGATTGTCTTGGTCGCCATGATAAACTCAGACACCCACTCAGCCTGTTCGTTCCATTCTAATCCCTGTGTCCCAATGTGACGTTTCTCAGACCATCTTCTTGGTCCAATCTTGGCCTTGAATGAAATCTCCAATGATGACCTTGAAGAATGTGCGATCTTCTCTGTAGAACTACTCCAAGTCCATATAGAACGCTTCAACTACTTCTTCGTCATAGTTTGATGTCGGCGCGTAAACGACGAAGATTGTCAGGGCCGGAATTGATCCACGTCTTTTTGATCGTAAACGTCCGATTCGGGTTGTGAGTTGATCGAATGAATTGATGTTCATGGACAAACTCGTGTCGACGAGAACGCCGACGCCGCCGACACCTCTATTGTCGCTTGTTCCGAGGAACAGTTCTTCTACGGTGTCATAGACGGCGTTGAATGGGTAGCGCCGTCTCGTCTCGGCCAGGCTAGTGATGTCGTACTTTATCCTTCTTGCTTGCATGAGCAAGTCTTCTATCGAGGACTCGGATGCAAGTGTACATGCATTGTAGGTACAGATCGTCATCATAGTTCTTTGAAACCCAGGCAGTTTCCATTGGCCTTGAGATTTTAGCAGCCTCTTCGTACTCGTCCTATCCAACGCTGCCGAATTGGGGCTCTTTTGGGGTCAGTGGAATGAGGCCCGTTGTTTTTTTTTACTGTGTTCAGCATTTTTGATACCCACGTACAGCTTGCTGGGCTCTGAACGTGGGGCTGGGTATGCTCATATGTATTTTACCAGGCTCTCACACAGTGGACATGGAACTTATTTGTTGGAGGCGACTCCTAACCACCTCCCATATACTTCCCAGTCACTTCGTTGCAGGCTTTTGGCCGAATTGACACGTAGAATACAATCCACATAAAGCGAAAACGCACCCACACACACATGCATGAATACGCCTAGCAAATAGAGAAAGTATATGCCAAATCGGTTCAACAGTAACAGGGAGTCCATCCCCTGGATCCACCTGCGTCTCAGGAAGCAGGGGTGACTTTTGGTCCGCGATCAACCTCCTATCCGCTACCTGGGGACGCGCACGTAGCCTCGCGATCCGTGGCAGGTATATATATGCAACAGAATTAGAAATATATTTACATTATGTTTTTATTCATGCTAATAATTTTTTACATTGTGTTTACATCCGCTATAATATCATGAATAACAGTGTCCTTCGCAAGCGACTTTTTTTGCAGAGAATCTTTTGACGGGAGATACCGAAGCGTCGTTTAATCACATGTCTATCATTGACTGGTTAGAGGTATTTCTTTTTAGTGACGTTATTATTCGCACTATATTGACGTAAAAGCCATTTAACATTACTATTTACTATGCATAAATAAGCGGGCATGTGTAGCCTAGTGATTAGATATCCACTGCAATATACAGTGAATCGGCAGCTTGTTTGAGCACGCTCCCCGTGCTCACGAAGCCTTTTATCGCTTCGGGGTGGGCAAACTCGTACAAGACTTGTCTGGAAGGATAGCAGAACCGACTCGATACATCGGTAGGCGGCCACGAGTCATCGTATAGGCCAGACGCTGTTTGATGAAATCGAATGCACAGCACATGTCTCGTGAATCGGTCAACATCATGGACTTTATTCTTTGTTTTGGGTAAATTTGCCGGCAAACCGAAGGAAAGACGACTAAAATCGAGGATGTCAAAAACAAATGATGTTATTTAACTTCGTTATAATAGTTTCGCTTTAGTTACTGTCACTACTGGTATTATTGCTTCCACTTTTAAATTTTAGTTAAGCGAAAAGGGAACTAAACTACTGTTTCGCGATAAAAGATCCCGTTTAACGTTATTGGATGGCAATCGGCAGACGACCTTACTCAATTTCTGCACCTACGTTCAGTGGGTTCCCGGAAGTGAAGTGATTGTCGCACAATCCGGCAACACCCTTCATGTGTGGTGCGTTAGTGAGAATTATATTATCAAAATGCTGCAAAAGTACCGAATTATGCTTGCAGTCCTTTGTTGTTCACCACTCTAATGTCATGTTCTTCTGCCTTTTAATCAGCAGCGGCGAAGGTTTTTCTAGGTCTTGTATATTTTCTTCTATTTTCGACAAAGAACTGAATTATGGTGTAGGCGTTATGACCAATTGTCTCACGTTCTTATTGGTAAAAGTAGACCTTATTTCTATTTATTATATGCGTTCGTGCTAACAGAAGACGGTGTTGCTTACAAATTATCTTTTTCATCAATACGGCAACGATCAGTGTCAATAACATGATATTCTATTAAAATGTATGAATGATTTGACGTGACTGTGTTGAATTCCAACTTTCCCTCTTTACTATAAGATCTTTGAAAAGGTTATGAACTTATGTGAAGAACATTCCTTTTCATGGAAAACGAGCATTTACTGTTTGTCTTTGTCTGACGTATGTCACTGCTTCAATGAACTAGACTTACTGTAGTTTATCAAGTTTTCCGACTAAATTTAACTTGAAGCTGTCGTTAACAAAGAAAAAGGTCTACGTAGAACAATCTTAGTTTTATCACTAACTGTATTCAGGTACAATCCATCTTTACCTGATCAAGTTACTACAGTTCCTATTAAAGGAGAAGTCGAAGGTGTTCTACGTGATGCTGAAAGAACAGAGGTTATCGTTCAGGTAAAGATGTTCATGGAAGAATTTCAGTGAGCAGCGCAATTGATAGTTGATTGTTCTTTTTTTGTAATTTATTCGAAAGAATAACCCTTACAAGCTTTTGAGTTCTTTTCAAAAGTGAAGCTACAACTTTTTGTTCTATTGATATTTCACGACGTTTAAGTTGTTGAGGAATTAACGTCTTCAGTTACACATTGAATGCACTCAGAATGTTTCTCATCTACAATTCGTTCGAACTCCTCGTCCATCTCGCCGTTATCTGCGAAAATTTGTTCTATGCAGTTTTACAAAGTAAATTTATGAAGTGCAGCAAAACAATATGTGTGTATGTTTCTGCTGAATGACATTTCCGACATCAGTTTCTTTCTTTAAGAGTTCTCTTAGTTTCTCGACCCTCATCAGTCAATGATCGAGAGAATGACATAACTAAGCATTAAATCTGCGAAGGGTTATCTAGGATTTCTCCATTCATTTGACTTCAGGAATCCAATGCAAAGGTGGCTTACGAACTTGACAATGTTCAAATTGATTTTGCATCAGCAATTGACGCTGGAGATCTAGATAAGGCTGCTGCGTTTCTTGATCATTATAATGTGGACGACTCGTGAGTAACTTAAAATGTTTAAGCAAGGAAATTGTTCTTCTCTAAAGGATTTGATATCCAGTTAGAACTTGTTTCCACAGAAACATATTTTAACTATAGTTGCTCGCTACAGCGTCCTTTATCTTTCGTCCTTTCCAACTTTATTATGTTAGAAATCGTGCTTAACTAAACTACCTAGATATACACTTTGGAATAAAGTCGGTCAATTGGCTTTGGAACAAAACAACTTCTTCATCGCACAGCGATGTTTCGCAGCACTTGGGGATTTTGCTCGAGCTGTGGCTGTGTTTGTTAGTTCAAGTGTTAATGTCTGAATAATTAAGAGGCATTATTCCAGTACATATTCCTCGTTATTAGAGAATTATGGAGTTGGCTGAGTTAACGGCCAAGGAACTTGGTGGTGATGGAATGCAATCGTACAAAGTTCGAGCTCGTGTTGCACAGCTGATGCGAAAATTTAAGGAGGCGGAGAAGATTTATGTAGAACAGGTGACTCATAATCTATTATGAAACGTAAGATGTAGAGGGGCAGTGAACAGCATTCCGAAACGACGTCAGGACAAGTTTTTGCAGTGAAGAAGAATATTTAGAATGCCATCGAGGAAGCGATCGAGATGTATCAGACACTTCATAAATGGGATGAAGCGTTGGAACTAGCGAAAGCCACAGTAATAGCCCATCATCGATGTGGTTTTCTTCTCAATTACTTAACTTTCTTTTATCCTAGAACTACTCCGGTTATGAACAACTCAAGGCGAACTACTATCGAACCTTATTCGACACTGGACAGGATGCTAAGGCAGCAGAGGTAGTTCAAGTAATGCTTCCTTGAGCATTGCATTTGCGATTTTCTCTGGACTTCTTGATCCTTGAATTTGCTTTTCTGACACTTCTGTTTTACACGGTGTGGCAAACAATATAAATGACATCTGGATCGTTGAGAAAATCGACACAGGAAATCGACGTTCCTATGACTGGAGTTTCTTATAAATTTTACAACGTGTTCAGTTAAAAATTGCCGATGGTGATGTCACTGGCGCCGTTCATCTATACATCAAGGCTAAACAGCCTGTACAAGCACTGGAAACTGCTCTTAACGATTCTTCTCTTGCAAACGATCATTCGTTGATGACGTCGATTGGGTCACAGCTTGTGCAATCTCAGATACTGGACAAGGCAGGCTCTAAGATAGTTAATAAAAGTGGAATAAAAACAATATTCAAAAATTTACGTATAAACAATTTTTTATTTGCAAATTCCATGTCTGCATGACTATTCTTTCAAGGCCGGAGAGCTCTATGAACATATGAAGGATTTTGAAAAGGCACTTGAATGCTATACAAAAGGAAAAGCCTTTGGCAAAGCCGTGCAGGTAGCACATCTTGGAATACTGGTCGTTTTTCATGACATTACCATAACCTATATCTCTCCAGCTTGCTCGTTTCTCGGCTCCAGAAAAAGTTGTGACATTAGAAGAGCAATGGGGTGACCATCTGGTATCTGAAGGGCAACACGATGCCTCCATCAATCATTTTCTAGGTAAGTGTAATATGATCGATCTTAAATAACATCGTTCATGATTGAATTCAGAGGCGAACAGCCTTACAAAGGCAGCTGAAGCCGCTATACAAGCCAGGGAATGGGGAAAGGCAGTGCAGATTGTAGATGTTATTCAGGATTCTACATTATCTAGTGATTTATATGGTCGGATAGCTGCGCATTATGCGGACACTGACGAACTTGACGTATGTCGAATCTGCACGATTTAACCACTTTTTTCATGAACTAGTTATAAAATCTCTTAACAGTTTAGAAAAAACACCTAAAACATATTTCTTGTTTACCACTTACTTGGATACTTGGATGACCGTCCTCACTGGTTGTTCGGGTTCTAGCATGAAGTCCACTCTTTCGGAGTTTTGCGGGTTTAGCCATTGTAATGCTCTGGAGTCCCGAGCTCAGCCTCGTCTATGCCTGCCTCAGATCGCCACTAGCACGGGTAGTCAGCGCTCTGTGGATAAGAAGGAGATTTGCCACCATGCTACTAGTTTCATAACGAGATGGTGACGGATCTTCGTGCTGGTTTACTCCTAGTTGGGCTTACTGGTGGAAACGTCGGACTCCTTCTCAGCTTGGGAGACCCTGCCAAGAGGATGAATCCCCCGCTGTAGATCGCAGTCCAACACCCAGGAACACCTCTCACCCACGATAAGACGGTGAACTGTTGGAGGGATTTGGTGTTTAAGATCTTAAATAACGATGTGACAGCAATTGGATTATTGAAACAACTCAGTGTTTCAACTGTTCGAAATCTTAGATCATTTTCCATTCGAGGATTTGGAAACGTTCCACTTGAGATACGGTTTCTCACGTACTCAGGTGTTTATTACGACTCTATCACTAACGTGTGGTCCTGGGTCTCCAGTTGAAATTCACATCCGTGTTCATCTTCGACTTATGGTAGCCCAGGCTGAGAACGAATTTGATCTTCTATTCAGTAACCTGACTTCAATATAACTGTCGTCAAAACTTGCTGGTAGTTTCCTACGATTGAGATCTGAAGATGTCGTAATATCTCTTATCTCATCCATCTAGAAAAAAATTGCCCAACCTGCAGAACGGAAGCATCAACAACTCATATTCTGAAGGCTGTCATCTGCGAAGTATCGGGTTGCTCTCAAGTACCAGGTGGTGGTTCTGTAGGAGTTGGGTATGAGAAACAAGACATTTAAACTTACTAAATAAAATTGCAAAAAAAGCCTAGTCTTTTTCGCTAGCGTTTTATTTTTGTGAAAATTTGCCTTTCTTGAAGAAGGAAACCCATGGTGAGGTTACATCGCACCTGGATCCAAGGCGTTTAATAAATATTGGCAAATAAGGGAAAGTCTACAGGAGACAAACAGCAGCGCATAACATCATGTTTCACCCAATCCCAATGAAGCTATCGACTAAATGATGGATATCGGTCTGCGCGCTCCTCATTTTGACTCGACAGTTTGCCTATGATGTTGTTATGCGGCTAAGACTAGGGATGATATCTCTGCGTAGAATTTTTCCAAATATCTACGACAGTGGGCTAGCAGACTATACTGTCTGAAATACAACTGAAATTCGACACACAACACCTCACTAAACTTCACCCTTTGAACCATTATCAAACATCGGATGTTAATGACGGAAAGATCCACACCTAATCTTAGATAGGCCATGTAGAGGTGGCAGGAATAGATGGTAGATGCTGTGTGTGTAGCAACTGTACAGATAAAATACCCAACTTCTGCAAAATAAAAAAAAAGTCGCAGCTATCAATGTAACCAAAAGGAGCTTCCTCTATGTTCGACGGTCATGAGAGAACAAAGGAAATATAAACAGCGCTACGAGCAAGATAATTCGTGGAAAATGTATTGAACATAGGAGTCTATTTTTTTAAAATCAGCTCCTTTTCTGGTTTTTTTCCAGATTTGTTTTGAGTGTATGAGCTGCTCATTAACTAAATGTTGCAGTGTTTCTTTTTGCAGAGAGCTGAACGACTGTATCTTGAAGCGAATCTTCATAAGGAAGCCATTGCCATGTACATAAAGCATAACCGATGGGCAGACGCATATCGAGTAAGTGATAACTATAAAACAAAAGTATCTGGTGCCCGTAGCCAAGATCAAACATCGATTTATGTCAACCCAAGTTGCGTTTTTTTCAGTTGTCAGAAGAATTTCTCGGAAAAGAAGAAACGTTCGCTCTTTATGAAGCCAAAGCGGAAGAACTCGAACAGCAAGGGAGATATGCCGACGCCGAACAGGTGTACTATTTGCATTAAAATTATAATATTGATATTTTTATGTTACCCATCATCACGTCTACTATGCAGCTTCAAGTACTCCTTGTATTTGATTCTTTTTCCTCGTATTCAGAGTCCACAAAGGTTTCCGAGCATTTCGCGGATTGTCTCGGCTTCTGTTTGAGAATTTCGTTTTCTTTACGAGTGCCGTAAAATTCTGGTAGGGCCAATTCTCCTCAAAATCTTATAGATAGCCAATTAGAGCATCCCTACGTCGTTTAGTGCGTCCCTAAGTCGTATAGTGGAGAGCGCTGGAAAGGAGGTCAAACCAGAACCTTGCTTCCTGATGTACTGAAGCACTTTTCACTGCGCTACACGCCGTTCCCAATACTAATATTAACATCAGTTTTTCTGCAAAATAGCCACTCATGACACTCACACACCTTGTTTACTAGTAGCTGAGGAGGATGCAAGGTGCTTCCAGTTTTCGTTTGTAACGATTTCATTGACTTATTGACGACAGTGTGATTCATGTGTTGGTCTAGCTTGGTCAAGAGTAATTTGATTTCTTAGTCATAGTGGAACACTTTAAATTTAAAAAACGACCGTTAGAATCCAAATATTTTGTCTGGCAACGTAAAAGTTACTTCTTTCATCACGATGAAATTCATGCCTTCTAGACCTCTCAAAAGGCTTCTTTTTTCTTTTTTTCCGTCTACGCTCGTGTTCCTATCGGCGAAGTTGCTGGATAAGCGGGATTTCAGGATGTTGGTATCAAACATTTAAAAATAATTTTTATTACTACTACATGAGCTGAAATTACTTATATCACACTGTGATGACCCTATCACTCCTTGAATTCGATTCTTTTTCTCGCACTTGCAATTCCCGAAAGTCTCTAAACTTTCTCGCGTGTTGCTTGCTCTTTGAGGATTTTCCCATCTTTGCCTCAAACGTGGTTGGATGCTGGTAGAGTCGATTCTGTCTGGAGCCCTGCAATAGAAATGGCAGAACGTTGCCACGTGGACTAGAGCGAGTGAGCTTTGCCCAGATAAGTCTGGCTGCGCTTTCCCGACTCTGGAGGGATAAGAGGCTTGACAGTCCCGAGAGTGACCGACCAATGCCTGGGTATATTACGCCGTCCTTGTGGTGAATAAGATTACTAGCACCACGTTACTCGCTGCCTTTAGAAATACTGCTTAATATCTAGTTACCCCCGGCAAAAAATTCGGAGGAAAATAACCGTTTGAAAACGCATTTGTGGAAGACAAGGGTAATAAGCTCGCCAAGGCTTCAGGCTTCTAGGTGTTGGTGTTATCGAAAGGTTTTCGGCAGTAATCGGAAAATCCTTATGGCCGTCAATGCGTTAAGTGAAACATTACAATTTGATCACCGCACTAATTCCGATTGTTTGTTAAACCTATTATTTACATTCCACTTGTGAGTAAACAAAAAAGGCTATAAAGTTTTTTTTAGTTATTTGTCTCCATTGGTATGTCAAATCGTGCCGTGCTGATGTACAAAAACGCTGAACGAAACGATGACGTCATTCGACTTGTTGAAAAGTACCATGGGGAACATCTACAGGTTTCTACTACCACGTCATCATAAGTAGGAATACTATCGCTTGTTGATCGATGTTACGCAGGATACTCATAAGAGACTTGGAATGGAGCACGAAGAACGCGGTGATCTGCGTCTTGCTGAAGAAGAATATTTGAGAGCTGGAGATATTAAGGTGGTTAACACTAGGGCATGACTTTTGAACGAAGTTCTTTTCTCGGAAAAGTAAGAGTTAAAAGTACCTTGTTAAAGCAGTGTCGTTCATACAGAAGAACTTTTCTGGACAAGTAGACTGAAAAGTTTTAAGACTTACTGATATGTTCTTGCTGATTATTTAGGTTTGACTGTTAATGGGAATCTTTATAAGATATGTTGTTCCAGGCTGCTATCAATATGTATCGTGAAAAAGAGATGTGGACGGAAGCACATCGTCTAGCAAGAACTGAGGGAGGTGAACAAGAACAAAAGCAGGTACACTTATTTCTTTCTTTTAATTGTCGCTTCATTGCTACGCTGATTCTCAAGCTTACATCCGGATTTATTGTCAGGTTACATTACTTTGGGCAAAAAGCCTTGGTGGTGAGGCTGGTGTGAAGCTGCTTAACAAGTACGGAATGCTTAATGAAGCTATTGATCACTTCAGTGAGATCGGGTAGTTGCCCTAAAAGTTTTATTTACTAAGTATATATAATGTCGAAGACAAAATCTCATTACCACGACGAATCTCGAGTTTCAGAACGTTTGATTTCGCATTCGAACTTGCTCGCCTTGGCGCAAAGGAAAGATTGCCTGGGGTAAGTGGAAAAAAAACTCAACTCTAAAACAGCAAAATAAAAAATTCACTTTTCTATTTACCACTAAAGCCAACGTAAAGTTCATACAGTACGCTAGATTCAATAAGAATCTGTGTTTCGTCTATATTATTCGACTACAAGAAAGATAAACGCTGACTATTGTGTAGTACAACCATTGCGACGCTGAGATATAAGCAAAACTCAGCACCTCGGTTGGGCTACGGGCTCGCTGTTATCCCCACCGCGGGTTCACGTGCCATCCACCACACGAACCGATGCTCTCGCTTTGCCTTTCTCGTAGCCTTCCCTTCCTTTCATTGCCGTAGGCAGGTAACACGGCCCAGAAAAGGGCTAAGCAACGCCTCGGTTGGTGTGATAAATAGCACGCGAACCCCTGGTAAGGGTTATCGTGGTATCGAAACTCAGCTGAGGCTTTCAGTTTTGCGAGTTTTGCTTATATCTCAACAAGCCTGTGGTTGTGTTTGACATCGTACCCTTCGATTATAAACGAATAGACAATAAATAAAAGCTACGGCTGGTTGGTATATTTACGATATGACGCTGTGTAGTACTCAAGCATTGAAGAATTCACGTCGACGAGAGTTACTAGATAGGTAGAATGCATTATACTAAGTTGCAAAAACCGAATTAAATCGGGTCGGTTGACCGCTAGCATAACGTGAATAAATTACTGGAACTCACTGGTGATTGAGATAAGGACTGAATATAAAACTCACTAATCAATGAAGTTGTAGGTTCATATGCGTATGGCGGTACAAATGGAAGAAGAAGGTCGTCTTGACCAAGCTGCTCATCATTTCATAGCAGCTGGAAAGCCGGTTGAAGCGGTTGGAATGTACATTCATGCATGTGACTGGAGAAATGCTGAACAAATAGCTAAGTCAGTATTTAGAAGCTACGGGGTCTTTGCCTTTACTTTCTCGGTGGTTTTCTTTTTAAAGAAAGTTTTTAAGAGAACATGCTCCAGAATCGTTGCCAGATGTTTTCATCGCTGAAGCTCGTAAAGCGTTGGAAGACGAGGACAACACCCGTGCGGAAAGTTGCCTTTTGAGAGCAAATCGACCAGATATCATACTTAAGTATGTATCTCTACTATATCATTTGGAGCATCTCAGATTTTTATTTGTTTTAACCATTTAGTTGTTTTAATTGTGTTTTAGTATTTTATGAATTTGTTCTGATAATCGTATCAGAATTCACAGTCAAGCACTCTTCTGTTAGGTTGAAGTTCATCGAATTTGAGAAAAAACTCAGAATGTAGAAAGAGGACTTCCTGCTTAGAATTGCATGTGGACACTAATGATGTGAATGAACCATCTTTACAAAGCATTATGTGCGCTGCAGTATGATTTCCATTTGATTGGCGATTTACTGATTTGACAAGGTTCTCGTCTTCTGAAATCATAAAATAATAGTGTTAATACACTCCCAGATTATCACTATGAGCGGTCTTTGCCTTTGGCGATAGGGGAGAGATTTGCTAAAATGCAACAGTGTTGTTCCAAAACGCCTGGCATTAGTTTCCTCTTAGTTGGTTAACTATGACAGTACTAAATCAAGAAAAGAAGCAAATGTATCTGCACGTTTTTCATAAATTCTTGAAATAACGCTTTTTTTAAAAAAAATTTGTCCCAGATTTTATCGAGAGAACGCCATGTGGCCTGACGCTTTGCGCATAGCTAAAGAATACTTACCCCATCAATTACTACAGTTACAGGTATGCTCAATGATAACCAATCTAGAGACTTAAATTTTTTAAAACATCAGCAGCAGGTAGGCAACTATTGTTAATACAAATCTTAAATCTGACATATTTCAGCTGTTCATGTGAAATGTACTTGGTATGGATTGTTTATACTGAGTGAATAAGGTCGGTAGATTTACACAAGATTTTCGCATGTAGTTCGCTCCATGACATCTGAAACAGTGGAAAGAAAGAAGACCAGAAAACACCGCATAAGTGTCTTATCCGAAGTTGATGCGAGAAACTAAAAGCATTTTGTTATGTGTTAAAAACGCTAATTGTTTTTGGATTGAGAAAGTATGACAAGGAGACTAATGAAACAATGTAAAGTAATTGCTAATGCTCACCATGATTTACCATTCTATCGTGGATTGCAGCTGTACATTGATGGTGGGCTCGAAAGTACAGCAGAGGGCTCGTCTATTGGCAACGCTACTCAGTTCGAGAAGGGATTTGAGATGTCTAAAAAGAATCTCAGCTGGAAGCAAACGAATATTTGTAATTATAGACGTTGTGGTAAAAAATTAGTCATGGGATGGCAAATCCTCCTCCGATCCTACAGAAAATCCGACGTCTGGCTGCGGTGGTAATCTGAAAACTCCCTAGCCACAAGAGCAAAGGACCCACCTCACTTCCCCGTATAATGGGAGCAATTTTCAATATCGTCGTTATAAAGTGAAGCATTCTATGAATTCTGGCTGAAGGCTACTGTAAGAGGAGACCTACTGTTAAGTCAACTTTTTTTAACCTATTAGTTTCAAAGGGAGTGTGTATTGCAGTGGTTGGAGGCGCCCTGCAGTATACATGAGATCGATCCGCGCGACCCAGGCTCACCAAGCTTTCCATCCCTTCGGTGTCGGAAAATTAGTACCAGACTTCCCTGGGAGGGTAGCAGCACTGGCTCGATACATCGGTAGGCCATGGCGAGTCACTGTGTAAGCCAGATATGCATTCAGCCACCTCTAACGATACTTAATGGCGTCGAATGCATGGCACGTCTCTCAGGAATCCCTCAAGAATAAACCTAAAATTAACTCTAATTTTGTTTCAACCTATTATTGTTAAATGGGCCAACCGCCTGATGGGTTTTGGTAGCTGTCAGTCAACGCAATGCTTTGGTTATTTTACACGCATTTGTTTATAAAATGACATGCTTTTATCTCTTGGTTTTTTTTCTTCATCGTTCTCTGATTTGGATTTCAGTTTTTTTTTCCTTGAAAAAAGGATTATTTCATATCTCCCCATTCATTTCTGTTTCATGTTAATTCACCTTAAACTACGATCTCAGCAAATTTTGTTCGATGTTTCTGGAATCGAAAAGTTAAGAGGTTTGATTTCAACAAAAGATTCATTTTTGGAATGGTGGTCATTTTGTAAAGAAGTCAAGAATAGCACTAGGATATTCCTTTGAAGTGTAGTTTTTGAATCTTCCTTACTCCAATGATGTTTTTAGGAAGAATTTGAGCAAGTTGAGCTTCTGGGAGGTGGGCGTGGCGTGAATTCATTACTAGCACAAGGTCGCGCTTTCGAAGAACGGCGAGAATGGGCTAAAGCTGTACAAGCCTATCTGAAAGTATGTCACCTCTAAAAGTTTTCTTATTCGTGCGGAGTCGATAGATTTGTCAACAATTTACAGATAAATCACTCCACTACGAATGACGAATCGATGATCATTGATGCTGTTATGAAATGTGCCGACCTTGCTTTAAGGTTTTTGGCATCATCTGACGAAGAGGTGAATGGTTTCCCAATTTGAGGTTGTGCATGGGTATCGTTTTTAATTTAGATGGTGATAAAAGTCCTAGACGCTCTCGAATCGAACAACTGTTACGAAAAAATGGCCGAATTATTACTAGCCATTGGACAAAATCGCCAAGCAGTTGTTGTACTGACCAAATCACGGCAGTGGTCGAAGGCTAAGCAGGTAAGTCATACATCCATGCTGGACGGAAATGTTTATTTTTGTGTGCTCTGGAAGTTCTTGAAGATAGAAATGATGTAAATTCGAAACCTTACCTTTTGTAAATTACACTAGAGTGTTAATAACCTGCGGATTTCCAGAAACTACGTTAAGGTAGCCATCGAGTTCGTTCCGGACATGGTTGCAGACGTTGAGGCTCAGTATAAGGAATGGCTAACAGAGGAAGGGCGGGTTGGTGAACTAATCGACGTCGATGTCATCTCAGCTATCGAGCTTCTCATCGCCAAAGGTCACTGGGATAAAGCTCTAGATACTGCTAGGCAACAAAAGGTGTGGTTTCGTGTTAAATTTAGTTTTGAAACAATCCTATTAGAGAATATGTAGGTAAAGAAACCATTTGTGTCCAGGGCTTAAAACTTGAATGTGCTAAAGCGACACGAGTCAAAATTTTATTTTTTTTATTTTTCGAATCCGTTTTGTTTTGTATCTTTTTTCTCTACTCTATAGTTTTTAAACTTTATAAAATTGTGTCTCCCATTTGTTCTAAGGCACTGTTTTATTCAAAAACTGATTAATCCAGCACAAACCTCTCCTTGACAAATATGTGGCCCAGTACGCTGCCGAACTACATGCCCAAAACAACGTCGATCTGATGCTGAAAGTGTTCGAGAAATACGGAGCTTCATCAAATCCAGCAAACTTCAATATCTACAAAGCCATCGTAGATAAGGTATTTTTATTCTCTTGCTTAGATTTGCAAACGGGTAATATGAGTACAATCGTATTCTAGATTGTTGCTCAATCATTCCATAATCCTGCAGAGGAGTATGCTCAACTTAGTCCAGTTAGAAACCTTTTTCTTTCCGTCTGTGAACAACTTAAAAAAGAAAACTCTGAAAGCAAAGAGGTTGTTTTTTCAAATAAATTCCTACTTCTATAATGAGAAGAATCACGAGTTCTCCAGATTTTCGAAAGGTATGTACATGCACTTCATCTCATGACAATACGAAGTGCTATGGAGGTAAAATAATTGCACATTTTTCTCCTAAGGTTCTTTTAGCCAGTCTGATGCAATTATGAATTCGCAGGAGATTCAGACACTGGATGCAAGTAAGCTTCGCTTGCAGCAATCGATTTCCCTGCTACGCTACTCAGATCTCATTCCTGCCGATCGAGTATTTTTTCAAGCAGGAATGGCCTCTAAGGTTAATGAAGGCCATAATTTACCACTGAACCATTTGGAAGTGATACCTATTTACTCGTCTAAATTTAGGAAGCTGGTGGAGACTATACAGGTTTAGCGTTTTTGTTACTAAATCATTACCTTGATCTTGTCGATGCTATTGAGGAAGGTGAGTTTCGCTCAGAGCTTCATTAGTATTGGATATAATTACACATAGGTGTAGAATAAAGTGCATCAGGAATCGCATGCACTCAAATACAACTGTTGAAAGGTTAGTTCGGGATCTAGATGGATCCTATAGTTGCATTTCGATAATGTGGCCTTATAGTATATCGAAAATTTGTTAACAACTTGGCGAATGATCCATTTATTTCTGAAAGTTTTCTTTTAAACGAGTCCTTAAGAAGCCGTGAGTTTAATAAACGTATACCAAAAATTGTTCCAGCACGCATAACACTGACATAGAAATTTAAAAATGAACGTATAGCCGCGCATTGAGTACAATGCATTTTCTAGAAGCAATAGTTGTTTCCCATTGTAATCCAGCATATTTCATCTCTTTATTATTTGCAATAAGATATTTAGAATTTACAGATGCTGGACGATTAGCTGGATGATGAAGGCTTTCTTATTTTATGAAGATAAAAATGTGATTTTCTGAAGCTCGCAAAACCTTTTTCTTTGGGAGTCATATTTCGAACGTGGTCGCAACAGAACAAGTGAGATTTCGCCCAGCAAAATATTATGGTTCCCCAATGTATTTGTTAGTGCGCGTGGGTACTGTACTTGCAATGGATTTCTATGATTTCAATGGAAGCCCTTAATCACTATCGCGCTAAAAGATACTGCTCCAACCTCACTGAAATACAAAAACGTGGTATGCGGGAGGTACGA